TCTGAGATGGGAGGTTTCCCAGGAAAAGCTCGTTCATAGCCAGGCTTGGACACTTCTCCCTGCTCTAAAGCCCTACCCTGTATGTGCCAGTTCTCACCAGTAGATCTTTCAAGAAGAGCCTTTAATAGCTCCTTTGTGCACACTTACTATGCGGCAGGCCCTGTCTTTGGCACTTTCCTCATGCTCTTATCCTTACTCCTCTTTTGCCCTCGCAACGCCACCATGAGCTAGTTGGATTATCACCATTGCCTAGATGAGGATACGAGGATCCGGGAGGCTGAAGGTCTCACCATGCCACGTCACCCTTAGGTGACACACAGCCACACGAAGGCCCAGTCACTCAAGATTTCACTGCTCCTTCCCCCCAAACACATCAGGTATCCAAGGAATGGCAGGCAGGTGGCAGAGTGCCACCTAATGGTGATCTTCTTCTTTTTTTTTTTTTTTTGATTTTTTAAAGACATTGTCTGGCTCTTTCCCCCAGGCTGGAGTGCAGTGGCGTGATCTCACCGCACTGCAACCTCTGCCTCCTGGGCTCAAGCCATCCTCCCGCCTCAGCCTCCCAAGTATCTGGGACTACAGACGCACACCACCAAGCCCAGCTAAGTTTTTTGCATTTTTTGTAGAGACAAGGTTTCACCGTGTTATCTAGGCTGGTCTCAAACTCCTGAGCTCAAGCGATCTGCCCACCTCCATCTCCCAAAGTGCTTAGATCACAGGCATAAGCCACTGCGCCCAGCCCTAGTGGTGATCTTTAAAGATGCTATGAGTAGCTCCCAAGTTCACCAAAGGAGCTTGCCAGGAGGGAGGCAGGTGCCCAGGCAGAGTGGGAGAGATGGCTCCCAAATGCCAGGGTGAAGGTCAGAGAGACCCTGTGGTAAAGGGCACCTGAACCAGGTCTGTGGAATGGGAAGTCCTTCTAGCTTGTTGCACAGTGCAGCAAATGATGAAGCCAATCTAACTTTCTGGGAGTCACAAACATGGATTAAAAAAATACTTTTTTGAAACGGGATCTCACTCTGTCACCAGGCAGCAATGCAGTGGTGCAATCATGGCCACTGCAGCTTTGACCTCCTTGGGCTCAGGTGATTGTCCCACCTCATCCTCCCAAGTAGCTGGGACTAAAGGCACATGCTACCATGCCGGCTAACTTTTGTATTTTCGTAGAGATGGGGTTTCACCATGTTGCCCAGGCTGGTTCTTGAACTCCTGGCTCAGTGATCTGCCCGCCTTGTCCTCCCAAAGCATGGATTTTTACCCTTTATCCTTGTAACTCCCCTGTGACCAAGGAAGGGAAGGTCTTACTAACTCATTTTACACATGACCAAGATGAGGCTCAGAGAGGTCCAGTGACTCACAAGTTAGTGACAGAGGCATTCCTAACCCTTTGATTGCACTGACCTGAGAGTGATGGTTGTGATGATGGAGGTGATGGTAGAACTAACATTGAGTGACTTTGAGCAACTCTATCAGGTAAGTACAGTTGTTATTCCCATTGACAGGTGAGGAAACTGAGGCTCAGAAAAATGCATGAACTTACCTCAAGGTGACACAGCTACTACGTGATAAAGAAAAGATTCAAATCCTAGTAATGTGACTCCAAAACCAAATCTCTTTTTTTTTTTTTTTTTTTGAGACAGAGTCTCGTTCTGCCACCCAAGCTGGAGTGCAATGGCACATCTCGGCTCACTGCAGCCTCCACCTCCTGGGATCAAGTGATTTTCCTGCCTCAGCCTCCCAAGTAGCTAAGATTACAGGCACGTGCTACCACACTTGGCTAATTTTTGTATTTTTAGTGGAGATGGGGTTTCACTGTGTTGGCCAGGCTAGTCTCTAACTCCTGACCTCAAGTGATCCACCCGCCTCAGCCTCCCAAAGTGCTGGGATTATAGGTGTGAGCCACTGTGCCCATCCCCAAAGCTCTTTTTTTTTTGAGACAGGGTCTCGCTCTGTCACCCAGGCTGGAATGCAGTGGTGCAATCATGGCTCACTGCAGCCTTGACTTTCCCGGGCCCATTCTATCCTCCCACCACAGCCTCCCAAGTAGCTGGGACCACAGGCATGTGCCAACATGCCCAGCTAATGTTTTAATTTTTTGTAGAGATGAAGTCTCCTTATGTTCTCAAACTCCTGGGCTCAAATGGTCCTCCTGTCTCAGCCTCCCAAAGTGCTGGGATTACAGGTGTGAGCCACCGCACTCAGCCCAGAGTCAAAGCTCTTAACCACTGGCTCTTCTGGCTGAGGAATCCTCCCTGCCAAGATGCCAATGACATAGGTGCTTTTCTCCAGCTTGCCTTATTCTATTTACCCACACTGAGAAACTGTAGCTGCATTGGTGGGTGAAGCCCACACCCAGATTACTCTCAGAGACTCACTCACTCACTGCTGTGTGACTTTGGATGAATTTCTTTTCCTCTCTGATCCTCAGTTTCCATGTCTGTGAAATACAGAGTTTAAACTAGTTGAGAGCTGAGGTCCTGCTTTTCAATCGTCTGTGAATCTGTGAGTTTATAACAACACAGGCTTCAGACTTTCTCCCCTGGCTGGGGGCTGTGGCTTACGCCTGTAATCCCAACACTTTGGGAGGCCTAGGCAGGGGGATCACGAGGTCAGGAGATCGAGACCATCCTGACCAACATGGTGAAACCCCGTCTCTACTAAAAATACAAAAATTAGCTGGGCGTGGTGGCACGTACCTGTAATCCACGCCACTCATGAGGCTGAGGCAGGAGAATCGCTTGAACCAGAGAATCAGAGGTTGCAATGAGCTGAGATCACATTACTGCACTTAAGCCTGGTGACAGAGCAAGACTCTGTCTCAAAAAAAAAAAAAAAAAAAAAAAAAGATTTTCTCCCCTGCCAACAATTTGAATTTGTTCCTGAATCAATTACAGGAGTAGAACTTCTACCTTCTCTCTTCTGTCTCTCCCTCCCTCCCTCTCTCTCTCCTCTTCCTTCCTCTTTCTCTCTCTCCCTTTCTCTCAATTTTCAGCCTAATTATAGTTAACTCTGTTATTTAGAGACTTATTATCCAAGCTCATTATGAGTAATTATTCAGTCTGGAGGGGAAACAGCAACACTGCTAGTATAATTTAATGCTTACCTAGTTCACTTAATTAGTAATAAGTCTTGGCAAAACGGTGGAATTCATGGGTCCTTGCTGGGTGGGTGGGGAGAGGCTGTGTATTGTTCTTAGAAAGATAAGGTTTCAAAGTAGAATGTGGGAGAAGGCAAGAAAAGGCTGCCTGTGACCTGGGCCGTGACATCTGTCCAGGTTGAGGCTGGCCCACAAGAGTGAAAGGCTGCAAATTGCACAGAGCTAGAAGGACCTTAGGTCAGGTAGCACTTATTAGGCCCCTTCTGTGTGCCATACCCCATGCAAAGCTCTGGACAAACCTTATTCCTTATGTCTCACATGTGGGACTTGTACATTCGAAATAATGTAAGTACTACCTGCCTTCGGTAATTCAACTCTTATAGTGAGTACGTTCTCCTTTCAGTAGTATCTCAGGAATTTTGATAAGTTAAGGATAAATTTTCCCATTTGATACCACTATATCTTTTACCTCTCTCACCCTTTTCACAAAGGGAGGCCTTAGGCCCAGGGCCTTGGGCAGGCAACAGAATCTGGCTAGAAGTCAACATTGTTCAGCTTTGATTTTTTAAATAGTTTTAAATTATGGCAAATAACAGTGGTTGTGTATGTATGGAAGTGACATGATTTTCCATTATAGTAAAAATAAGTGAATTGTCATATAGAAAAATACAGGGTAGCCGGGCACAGTGGCTCACACCTGTAATCCCAATACTTTGGGAGGCCGAGGCAGGTGGACCACCTGAGGTCAGAAGTTTGAGACCAGCCTGACCAACGTGGAGAAACCCTGTCTCTAATAAAAATACAAAATTAGCCAGGCGTGGTGGCACTTGCCTATAATCCTAGCTACTTGGGAGGCTGAGGCAGGAGAATCGCTTGAGCCCAGGAGGCAGAGGTTGCGGTGAGCCAAGATCATGCCATTGCACTCCAGCCTGAGCAATAAGGGCAAAACTCTGTCTCAAAAAAAAAAAAAAAAAGAAAAGAAAAATATTGGGTAAAAAAGAGGTCAAGGTGGTACCCAGATGTGGTAACACTTCTAAGGAGAGAGGAGGATGAAAAAAGTCCCCTTCAGGATTCTGGATTAGAGATTGTCCCAGGACATCTGCCAAACCCAAACGTTGCCTCAGAATGCTTCTCAACCCAGGACTCCAGGCACCAGATGTCAGGGTGACCCCGCCCCCGCCCCCCTTCCCAGCCCCCCGTAGCCTCTCGAAGTTCTTCCCAGGCACCCCGCCCAAGCCCTGTGAGTCAAAACCAGGACACTCCAGTACCTCCTGCCCCTCCCATCACCCCCATCGCCCCTTTGCCATCTCATAGACCACTGATGCCCCTCAGCCCGTCATTGGTCCCCCTGGACCCCCTTTGTACCCCTCAGTGGGTAAACTGAGGACCAAAGGGATGACTCCACAGCGAATAACAGCAGAACCCTGGCCAAGCTGAAACAGCTTCCCTGGGCGAGCCCTGGTCCATCCCTACTTTGAGCTTTGGAGCCCAGCAGCCGGGGCCCTTCCTAAAGGAACAGCTCCCACCCCACAACCCCCAAGTCCTGATATGCCTGTCCTGTGGCCCATCCGAGAATCAATGTGTTACCTTTCCCAGCTGACTTTGTCTCCATAAAGGAACCTTCAAGCAGCACAGAGTAGTGGGTGGCAGAGTGGGGCGAAGGGGCCACAGAAGTGTGCCCGCTATGCTTCCTGTGTGCCACCTTCAGCCTCACCCAGAGAGCAGGAGCATTGCAGTCATCCACATTCATGTCTTGCTCTGCCATGACGTGAATCCCACAGGGATCTCAGGGCCAATGTGTGGCCCATGTGGCCACCCTTGGGGGCTTTCCCACCCTCACCCAGCCAGAGCCCATCCCAAGACACCAGAAAAGAAAAACAAAGAGGTTCTGGAGCGAGCAGCATCTGTCCTTGTATCAGTTTTATTGGCGGGTTTGTAGCTCCCTGGGCCGGGCCTGGATGCCTAGGCCAGTCTCTTGCTCACGCGCTCATAGGTCACGCCTCCGATGGTGGAGACCTGAAAGAAGCCGCCGGGACAGAGGGAGTCAGTGGCCCACCCCAAGGGAGCCAGGAGGCACCGCTGAACAAAGATGAGCCTCCAACCCCAGCCTTGAGTAGATGAGAGTCAGGTGCACCACTTCTTTGGGCCTCAGTTTCCCAATTTGTTCCAGGAGTCAGTGTGCGGACTCCCTGTGATGAATGGTAACCAGCTGTGAGGGGTGATGTGACTCTGGGTGTGGAACCCTGCACCTCTGTTCCTCTCCATTCACCCATGATTCCCCTGCATGATTCCATTTAATCCTCCCAACAGCCCTGTGAGGTTGTTCTCATTGTACAGATGAGAAAATGGAAGTTTAGAGAAGTCAAGTAACCCTTCCAAGGCCACACGCCATGGCTGCACTGCACAGTGTTTATGGGTACCTGTCACGTGCTCGGTGATGGGAAGATACAGTCCCTACTCTCTGAAAGCCTAAGGTTTAGTGGGAGAGGCAGGCGGGGGCATGCAGTTCATTGAAGGCCCACAGTGTGTGGTGCCCGGGGCTCCCTGCCGTGGAGCTGTGCTGCCATTGGAGGTGCACGTGTCATCAGCTGGTTTGCACACCCAGCAGAGGAAAGCAGCATTTCCATGAGAAGGGCGGGTAGCAAACAGAGAGCTGTGGGAGAGCCCAGAGGAGGCAGGGAGCCACTGACTAGGTAACAGGACGGGGAATTGGCTGTTGGACAGAAGCCTGCAGAACTGGATTTGGAAAAGCAAACAGGAGAAAGGGAGTTCAGAGGAGAGAAACCACATGGCACAGAAAGGGAGATAGGAACGGCTCTGGCCAGCTCAGGAGCAGTAGCTGGTCCAGGGGGGCTGGGCAGTAAGGCCATGGAAGGTCAAGTTTGGTCCTGATTCATGACAAAGGGCAGCAGTGTGAAGTGATGTGTGACTTGCATATGGGATAGATGCAAGGTGGGGGAGAGGTGGAATCAGAGGAGGCTGGGGCTTAGTGTAGGGGAGAGGTGATGAGAACATGGCAGGGGTGCTGGTGGCAGAAGGCAGGAGGGATGCTTACAAAATGCACTGTCTGTTGGTAGAGAAGTGGGGCGGTGCCAGGATGATTCTGGGCCTCTAGAGATGGGAGATTTGCAATCAAGACAGCTCCTCTCAGGGCCTAGTCATGGAACTTTGTTTATGTGTGCGCGTGCCTGGGTCTATGTGCATGCATACGTGTGTGTGCCTGGCTGTGTCATGTGTGTGTGTGCATGACGACCCTGAACTCCAGCCACTGCCCACACCACATGGGCTCCATGATGAGGAACCTCTGGGTATTGACAAGCAGGTTCGCTCAGCTTGGGAAGATCAATTCTCTTTTCAGGCCCAAATCTGCTTCCAATTCTCCTGCCCTATGCTCTCCCTGCACACCTCACAGGCTGGGGGACTTTGCTGCTTCTGGGAGTTATTGACTGACATTTCATGTAAAAATGCATCAAAAGCCCTTTCATTAGATTCTTCGAAATGTCAGTTTTCACCCAGGAGAAGAGGCATATAGTCACTTTTGTTCTTTTTACAGTTTTTCAACACTGTACATCTATTAATTTTTAGACTTTTTTTTTTTTTTTTTTTTTGACAGAGTTTTGCTCTTGTTGCCCAGGCTGGAGCGAGCACATTCTCTACTCACTGCAACATCCACCTCCTGGATTTAAGCGATTCTCCTGCCTCAGCCTCCTAAGTAGCTGGGATTACAGGTGTGCACCACCACACTCGGCTAATTTTTTTTTGTATTTTTAGTAGATACTGGGTTTCACCATGTTGGCTGGGCTGGTCTTGAACTTCTGACCTCAGGTGATCCACTTGCCTCAGCCTGCCAAAGTGCTGGGATTAGAAGCGTGAGCCATCACACCCAGCTAATTTTTAGATTATTTAACCAAAAATGTTAAAGGGGGATAAAAAAGACCCATGGGCCTGGGCAGAAGAGGCAGGGGGCCTAGTCTAGAGGTCAACAGATGAGATCTGCCTCTGCATGTACTAGCTGTGTGGCCATGGCCAAGTCCCGTGCTATCTCTGAGCCTTGTAATGCTGCTCTCTCTGTAAAATGAGTATAATGGGAGGGCACGGAACCTCTTGGGCCGTGTTACGGACTCCATGTGTGTCCCCCAACCAAACCCATATGGTAAAGGTTGAAGCCCCAATGTGATGTTATTTGGAGATAGGACCTTTAGGAGGTGATTAGGTTATGAGGGTGGAGTCCTCATGAGGGATTAGTGCCCTTATAACAACAGACACACGGCCTGATACAGTGGCTCACGCCTGTAATCCCAGCACTTTGGGAGGCCAGGGCGGGCAGATCACTTGAGGTCAGGAGTTCAAGACCAGCCTGACCAATATGGTGAAACTCTGTCTCTAGTAAAATTACAAAAATTAGCTGGGTATGGTGGCACACGCCTGTAATCCCAGCTACTCAGGAGGCTGAGGCATGAGAATCATTTGCATGGGGGAAATGGAGGTTGCAGTGAGCTGAGATCACGCCACTGTATTCCAGCCTGGGCAACAGAGTAAAACTCCGTCTCAAAAAAAAAAAAAAACAGGCCGGGCACAGTGGCTCATACTTGTAATCCCAGCACTTTGGGAGGCAGAGGGAGTACATATCATGGGGTCAGACCAACCTGGCCAACATGGTGAAACCCCGTCTCTACTAAAAATACAAAAATAGCTGGGCATGGTTGTGCGCACCTGTAATCCCAACTACTCGGGAGGCTGAGGCAGGAGAATTGCTTGAACCTGGGAGGTGAAGGTTGTAGTGAGCCAAGTTTACGCCACTGAACTTCAGCCTGGACGACAGAGCAAGACTCTGTCTCAAAAAAAAAAAAAAAAACAAAAAAAACAAAAAACCAGACACAAGAGAGATGATGTCTCCCTGTCATGTGAAGAAACCAGGACGGGGGCCCTCATAAGCCCCTGCCCATGCTGGCACCCTGAGCTTGTACTTCCCAGCCTCCAGAGCTGTTTGAAATAAGTGTCTGTGGTGTAAATCATTTACACCAGTGTCTGAGAGAGGCAGTGTGCTCCTTTCCTCTTGACAGGGCTTGAGATGAGGGCGCAAGGAAATGACAGACAGAGAGAGAGAGAAAGATCAAAGAAGGAGAAGCAAGGGGGTCACACAAACCCTGCCTCCCTCATCACGTCTTCCCTGCTGGAGAGCTTCAGGGAGGAGGGAAGGGCCCTTTCTAGACCAAACAGGACCCCAGAGGGTCTCTGACGCAGGTCACAGGCTCACAGTGAGGGAATGAAGTGTGGAAATGCCTTCTTTTCCCTGTTAACTTCACATCCATTTCTTCCACCTGGGGAAAACTTGGAGACCCACGGGAAAGAAACAGAAGTGAGAAGAAGGGCCTCCCAGGGCACCACCTCCTGTGTAGGAGGGTCCACAGATATGTGTGTTGGACCTGCCAATATTGAAAGAATTTTTTAATTAGTTGCCAATATTTAATAGTGTGGAGATTTCACATGGAAGTGCAAATTTCCATCTTCTCTGGATAAATCAGAAGATCTGGTAGAAGGCGCCTGATGTCCCTCATGGAAATGGAGTGGAGTGCTGGCTGTCCCTGGAGGAGCCCACCTGAACCACCTCCTTTACATTCTGGGAAGGATCTTCCGGGCTTCCAGTCTTGTGCCCCAGAGGTGGCTGAGTGTAAGTGCTGCAGTCAGGCTGCTTAGCATCAAATCCCAGCTCTGTCATCAAAGCTGTGTGCTCCCTCACTTAGCTTCCCCGTGCCTCAGTCTCCTCCTAAAATGGAGACCAAAATCCCCACCTAACAGGGTTATGTGAAGACCAAATGACATCATGTGCATCCAGCACTCAGCATAGAACCTGGCACAAGGGAAGTGCTGGTAAAGCCAGCTGCCCAGAGGCCTACCTCTGAGGGGCTGTGGCCAGGAGACAGACAAATGTCCAGTAATCATCCCAGGGACCAGCAGGACACTCACCTCCACCAGCTTGTCACCCACGATCTCTGAGGTCTGGTGATAGTTGGGGAAATTCACCACCAGCTTCCCGCCCTCCATCTGCACGGTGGCCTGGAATAGAAGCACAACATTAAGCCTGGGTTGTTGCAGGTGATTGGTAACTATCTGGGGCTGGTGGCACGGGGAGTAAGAAGAATTTACCAAGGCCAGGCGCAGTGCCTTACGCCTATAATCCCAGCACTTTGGGAGACTGAGGTGGGCAGATCACTTGAGGTCAGGAAGACCAGCCTGGCCAACATGGTGAAACCCCGCTATTAAAAATACAAAAATTAGCCAGATGTGGTGGCTCATGCCTGTAATCCCAGTTACTTGGGAGGCTGAGGCACGAGAATTGCTTGAACCCGGGAGGCAGAGGCTGCAGTGAGCAGAGATTGTGCCACTGTGCTCCAGCCTGGGCAACAGAGCAAGACTGTCTCAAAAAAAAAAAAAAAAAAGAATTTACCAAGACAGTTGTAGGCAAAAAAAAAAGTCAGATTTCTTAGAGAAAGTATGAAAATATGTTGCAAGGGTGCACTGGGCAGGTCAGCAAGAGAGGAGCTGACTGCAGGGAGACAAAGTCTTGCTGGAGAGTTTATAGACTGTTGCTTATGCAGTGTGCTGAAGAGGGTTTTGTGCAGTACTGACAAAGCAAAGGTTATAGTGAGATAACTTACATATTTCTATCAGTGGAGGTGACGATAGCTGGGCACAGGAAGATTGTGAGTTATTTGCACAGGACAGGTATGTGTTCTGGACCATGAAGAAAGGCAGACTTATAGCTTATCTACTCTCCTTTTTTGCTTTCCCCTGCTGCCACCAGCCTGACTCCTTTTCTATAATTAGAACTCCACATGGGTCACCAGAGGCCTAATGATAGAGGCAAATAGCTGGGGTTCAAATCCCTGGTCCCAGCATGTTCTGGCTGCAGGGCCTTAGACCCATTACTTGGTATCCCTGAGCCTCAGTTTCTTCAGTTCTTTTTTTTTTTTTTTTTTGAGGCGGAGCCTCGCCCCGTTCCCTGTTGCCCAGGCTGGAGTGCAATGGTGTGATCTCGGCTCACTGCAACCTCCGCCTCCCGGGTTCAAGTGATTCTCCTGCCTCAGTCTCCCAAGTAGCTGGGATTACAGGTGCCCGCCACCATGCCCCGCTAATTTTTGTAATTTTAGTAGAGACAGCATTTCACCATATTGGCCAGGCTGGTCTCGAACTCCTGACCTCGTGATCCACCTGCCTCGGCCTCCCAAAGTGCCGGGATTACAGGCCTGAGCCACTGTGCCCGGCCAGTTTCTTCACTTCTAAAACAAAAGCAAATGACTGTGTTTTTTCTTCTAGCATTCAATATGTGGCAGGCACTATGCCAGGTGCTTTCATGAACTGTCTTGTTTAATCTTCACCACAGCTCTTGGAGCCAGAGACTGTATGTAGTCTCCTTTTGCATACTAGAGATACGAGGCTCAGGGGAGTAAAATGACTTACCCAAGGCCCTACAATTGCTGGTGGGAAATCATGGTTTCAAACCCAGCCAAGGCTCACTCCAGGGCCCAGCCTCTTTATCTCTGTGCTACATAGAGAGGCAACATTAAAAAAGCACTTATGGCCGGGCACAGTGGCTCACGCCTGTAATCCCAGCACTTTCGGAGGTCAAGGTGGGCAGATCACAAGGTCAGGAGTTCGAGACCAGCCTGGCCAACATGGTGAAACCCCCGTCTCAGCTAAAAGTACAAAAATTAGCCAGATGTGGTGGTGCATACCTGTAATCCTGGCTACTCGGGAGGCTGAGGCAGGGGAATCGCTTGAACCCGGGAGGCAGAGGTTGCAGTGAGCTGAGATCATGCCAACTGCACTCCAGTCTGGGTGACAGAGTGAATCTCAAAGGAAAAAAAAGCACGTATGCTCTCTAGTGCCTGGTGTGAAGGCCTGCCCCTGTTGTGTGACTAAGGCAAGGTATTTATTTATTTATTTATTTATTTATTTATTTATTTATTTTGAGATGGACTCTCACTCTGTCACCCAGGCTGGAGTGCAGTGGTATGATCTCAGCTCACTGCAACTTCTGCCTCCTGGGTTCAAGCGATTCCCCTGCCTCAGCCTCCTGAGTAGCAGGAATTACAAGTATGCACCACCATATCCAGCTAATTTTTGTATTTTTGGTAGAGACAGGGTTTCACCATGTTGGCCAGGCTAATCTCAAAATCCTGGCCTCAAGCCATCCACCCGCCTCGGCCTCCCAGAGTGCTGAGATTACAGGTAGGAGCCACTGTGTCTGGCCAGCAAGCTTTTTAATCCCATAATTTAGCCTTCCCCCTCAATCTAGGGAGAGTAATTGTAGCAATGTCATAGGATTAACTGCATTAAGATGAAAAATCTATTCAGCAAGAGTCTAGGTTATATTAAGTGTTCAGCAAGTGTTAGCTATTTTTCTTATTGTTTTGGTGCCCATTTTTGACCATTAAAAATCAGGAGCATTAAAGTGCCAAGTAACTCAAGCTCTTAATGCTGGAGGCCAAACTGGAGAAAGAAGCCTCAGCTTGGGAGCAGGGAGGCCGTGTTGGAGAAGGAGAAGTCGGGTGGAGGCCTGGGGAAGGACGGGGACAGCCAGTGGCCTCTCACCTTGAACTTCTTGCCCCCCATTGTCTGTATGTCGCTTTCCTTGCCAACAGTGAACTTGTTGGTCATGGTGTGTCCTCCGGAGTAGTGCTGGGACCAAGTGAAGTCCTGCCCATCCTGCTGCACCTCCGTGACGATCTTGAAGTTGCGGGCCTTTTCGATTACATCGCTGGAGAGCCCTGGACCCGGGGATAAGCAGAGTAGCCATATAAGAGCTGCTTTTAACCCTGTGGTTTGGGGAAAGAGCTTTCCTGCCCACCCCCACTGCCCTATCCCATGTACGCGATAGGCTAGCCTGCAGGTTAAGAGCACAGTGCCTGAGACAGGTAATACATGTTGTGAGCCATGTGGCTGGGGGAAGTCACTCTCTGTATTCATCCTCAGTGTATTCATCCGCAAGACGGGGATAATAAGGCCCATCCCAAAGGGCTGTTACAAGAATTATATTCAATGTGAGTGTGTTTGTGAAGCTCCGGGCACATAATGGGTGCTCATCAATAATAACCAAGCTTCTGATAGTAATATAAATATAACGGAATCTTGCCAAGCTCGAGAAGTTCTGGAATTAATGAGACTTTCAAGACTGTGCCTTCTGGCCAGGTGAGGTGGTTCAGGCCTGTAATCCCAGCACCTTGGGAACCCAAGGCGGGCAGATCGTTTAAGGTCAGAAGTTCAAGACCAGCCTGGCCAATGTGGTAAAACCCCATCTCCACTAAAAATACAAAAAAAAAAACATTAGCTGGGGATGGTGGCAGGTGCCTGTAATACCAGCTGCTTCAGAGGCTGAGGCAAGAGAATCACTTAAACCCAGGAGGCAGAGGTTGCAGTGAGCGGGGATAGCGCCACTGCAGTCCAGCCTGGGCTACAGAGCAGGACTCCGTCCCCTACCCTCCACCAAAAAGAGATTGTGTCTTCTAATATTTTTGTTTTACAGATAAGGAAGTGAGCACCCAGAATGGGAAAGGGACTTCCCAGTATTTCATTGAAAGTTAATGACAGAATCAGTGTAGAACCGAGGTGGGCTCCCTTCCCATTCCACAACACGAAGCTGTCATGCTCCTTCAGGGCCACTGCCAGTGCATGACTCAGAGGGGCTCTCGACTCCTCCAGGTCCCAAGGCTCAATGGGCCTGGTCTCAGGGTTCCTTTGACCCAGCTGGCAGGCAAGAAGTGGCCACCAAGAGGGAGGGCATGGGTCCCCTTGAGCTGTCCTCTGAACCTTAAGAGTTACACTGCCTGAGACTTTTTAGATAGTGAGATACTGAGATTTCCACAAGATTGTCAGATCCACTGTCTCACTGGTTCCTCACAACAGACTCGTGTTACAAGTCAAGCAGTGAGAGAAGGAATGAAATCACTGGTATCTGTGCCCACAGTGTTTGGCACAGTAAGAGACCTGTGTGTGCTGAATGACTGTGTGAAGAAGTTGATTGTCAAACCTGGTCTCCACGCTAACCCTTTGGTTTCCTCTCCTAGGCAGGATGTGGTGAGACCACTCATCATAGGGTCCTGGGTGCCAATGGCCTCTGCCACTGACTTGGGCAAGTCACGCTGAGTCCCCATTGGTAACACTGAGATAGCCTTGCATATAGCTGGTGTTTGATAAATGTTTGACAGGCTGGGCGCATGGCTCACGTCTGTAATCCCAGCACTTTGGGGGGCCGAGGTGTGTGAATCACCTGAGGTTAGGAGTTTGAGACCAGCCTGGCCAACAGGGTGATACCCTGTCTCTACTGAAAACACAAAAAATTAGCCAGATGTGGTGGCATGCGCCTGTAGTTCCAGCTACTCGAGAGGCTGAGGCAGGAGAACTGCTGGAACCCAGGAGGCGGAGGTTACAGTGAGCTGAGATCATGCCACTGCACTTCAGCCTGGGAGACAGAGCAAGACTGCGTCTCAAAAATAAATAAATAAAAATAAAATAAAAACATGCTTGACTAAATAAACATCAAATCTCTACTTCACCAACCAAGTTTCCACTTTACCAGTTACTAGCTGTGTGACTTTGGACTAGTTACTCAATTCTCTGGGCCTCAAGTTTTCCCTCAGTAAAGTGGAGATACTAATATATTCTATGTGTGTTTTAAAGTCAAAGAGTGTCTAGGCCGGGCACGGCGGCTCACACCTATAATCCCAGCACTTTGGGAGGTCAAGCCGAGTGGATCACCTGAGGTCAGGAGTTCAAGACCAGCCTGGCCAACATGGTAAAACCCCGTCTTAACTAAAAAATGACCAAAAAAATTTAGCCAGGTGTGGTGGTGCACACCTGTAATCCCAGCTACTGGGGAGGCTGAGGCAGGAGAATCACTTGAACCTGAGAGCCAGAGGTTGCAGTGAGCCGAGATGGTGTCATTGCACTCCAGCCTAGGTGACAGAGTGAGACTCTGTCTCAAAAATGAAATAAAATAAAATAAAGTTGAAGAGTGTCGGCCAGGCGTGGTGGCTCACGCCTGTAATCCCAGCACTTTGGGAGACCAAGGCGGGTGGATCACCTGAGGTCGGGAGATCAGGACCATGCTGGCTAACATGGTGAAACCCTGTCTCTACTAAAAATACCAAAAAAAAAAAAAAATTAGTAGGGCGAGGTGACGGGCGCCTGTAGTCCCAGCTACTTGGGAGGCTGAGGCAAGAGAATGGTGTGAACCTGGGAGGCAGAGCTTGCAGTGAGTGGGGATAGCGCCACTGCACTTCAGCCTGGGCGACAGAGCAAGACTCCGTCTCAAAAAAAGAAAAAAAAAGAGTGTCTGAGTTCTTATTATCCTCAGAGTCTGGGAGAAAGCAGTTGCTCAACAAATGTGTGAATGAATGAATGAAATCCTGTCCCACCGTGACAAACCAACCCCGAGGAAGGGATACCCAGGAGCTCACTCACCGAGGAGCTTCATGAACTCATCATAATTCTTCTCACTCTCCATCTCGAACTTGCCGGTGAAAGCCATGCTGCTGGGAGGCTGGAGCCAGAGAGCAGAGGGATGAGGAGAACGGTGGTGCTGAGGGGTCTGCTTTCCCAGCTTATAAACTCTCCCAGTTGCTGAGGCTCAGCCCCTAAGTCACCCCACTTCTTCTCCCTCCTGTCCTGAAGAGGAAGCACTCGCTGTTTTATGATGTGGGCAGGACCTGGAGGGACAGAGCCCCAAGGTTATTCACCCTGGGGAAGTGCTGCCATTGCCCGCAGGGTCAGGATGGCAATGAGTTTGAGGAGTCATCACCTCTCTGCCCGTCTCTCCCTCCATTCCCACACGCCCTGCCCTCAACCCATGCTCTCACCATCTCTCATCGCTCATGCACTCTCTCACTCTGCAACCAAAGCACTTGAGCACTTGCTGTGTGCAGGGCCAGCACTGAAGAAACACAAATGAACGAGACACACACCTTTCCCAAAAGAGCCTTTGGTTTAGTCCAGAGACAAGCACACACCTGCAGAGAGTTCTTGTGTAAGCAGGATGTGATGTGCCCCAAGAGAAAAGCAGGTGGCTGACCTGGGGCATGGGGAAGGAGCAATGGTGTCCAGCAGGTGGCTGGTGCATGTTTGGGGAGGAGGTGGCATTTGGCACCCATCTTGGAGGACCAATAGGACTTGGATGTATAGGGAAGCAGGAAGGTTGGAGGAGGCTCAGAACAAAGGGAGATGATATTCTAGGATGAGGGAACAGTGTGATGAAGATGGAAAGGGTCATGATGAAAGGAAACAGTGAGTCTGGCTGGAGCAAAGCAAACTTGAAGGACAACAGATGCCCCTAAGGGTGGAGATAATGCAACCAGAGTACAGCAGCCACCCATGGACCTAGGCAGCGCACCTGGAGGAGAAGGTGCCAGGTGCCTTGAAGATGCCTGTGTGCCAAGCACTGGGCTGGGAGCTGGATGAGTTTTATTTTGTTCAAGCTTCAGAGCTGGAAGGGGCTAAGGGTTCAGAATCTTGACTTCCATTTCTGCTCTGTCTCTCAGTAGCATTTCACATGCTGGGACTCTATCTCCTCAATGATCACTCCAGTCTATCTATGTTGTGAGATAGTCCTCTGCATTGGGCAAAATTGACAGTGCAAAGTATAAAAGACTCTGCAAAGGCTCTCATGATTATTATTTATTTATTTATTTATTTATTTTTGAGATGGAGTTTCACTCTTGTTGCCCAGGCTGGAGTGCAAAGGTGTGATCTCAGCTCACTGCAACCTCCGCCCCCTGGGTTCAAGCAATTCTCCTGCCTCAGCCTCCCGAGTAGCTGGGATTACAGTCATGCACCACCACACCCAGCTAATTTTGTATTTTTAGTAGAGAAGGGGTTTCTCCATGTTGGTCAGGCTGGTCTCGAACTCCCAACCTCAAGTGATCCGCCTGCCTCAGCCTTCCAAAGTGCTGGGATTACAGGTGTGAGCCACCGCACCTGGCCGATTATTATTAATTCAGGAAATCTCTGCATGTCTATTTCGTTTTCCCAAGCTTGCTCTCCATGAATCTCCCTCATTTCCATCTCAAGCTGAATTCAATACAGTTGCTGACTCCCAGACCTGGGACTAAGGAGTCTCTGAACGGATGAAAAACCAACTCTGCCGCATCTTACCAGGCTTTAATCTCCAATCTTGGAATTTCTAACTCCAGCCAGGACTCTTACTTTAGTCTAACAGGCAGGCAGACAGACAGACAGACAGACAGACACACACACACACACACATCATGGATTTTTCTAAGTTATATATACAAAAATTTCAAATAATTCAGAGCAAGTGACAGTCCTGTCAGAGGTGACCTGTGATAATAGTTTGGTATCTCTCCTTCCAGGTTTTTTCTTTTCTTTTCTTTTTTTCTGAGACAGGGTCTCTGATTGTTGCCCAGGCTGGAGTGCAGTGTGTGATCTCAGCTCGCTGTAGCCTCGACCTCCCAGGCTCAAGTGATCCTCCCAACTCAGCCTCCCAAACAGCTGGGACTACAAGTACATGCCACCATGCCTGACTTTTTTTTTTTTTTTTTTTTTTTTTTTTTTTTTTTGAGGTGAAGTCTCCCTCCGTTGCCCAGGCTGAAGTACAGTGGCGCAATCTTGGCTCACTGCAACCTCTGCCTCCCAGGTTCTCCTGCTTCAGCCTCCCAAGTAGCTGGAACTACAGGTGCGCCCCACCACACTCAGCTAATTTTTAGTAGAGACAAGGTTTCATCATGTTGGCCAGGCTGGTCTCAAACTCCTGAGCTCGGCTGAGCTGCCCACCTCGGCCTCCCAAAGTGCTGAGATTACAGGCATGGGCCACCACACCCAGCCCTTTTAGGCTTTTAAATGCACATATTTACTTTCTTGTATAAATGAGACTATATTGTTCTGTTACCTCTTGTTTATGTAATGATATAGGCACATGTCTATATCATTACAAAAGGGTATATCATATCCTGTTCAATAGCTCCAGAGTATTCTATTATATGTATGTCTCATAACTTACTTAGCTATTGCTGGATTTTTTAGGTTGTTTCTAATCTTTTCCTATTATAAATAACTGTGATAAAAATATTCTTGTTCACACCTTTCACTGTACATGTCGGATTATTTACTAAGATTACTTGCTAAGGTGAATTCCCAGACATGAAATTCCTAGAACAAAGGGTTTTAGTGTTTAAAATTTGTATATATATTACTTTACTGCCTTTCAGAAAAGCTGTAGCAGTTTACACTCCCGCCTAGAGCATGTGAGAATTTCCCCTAACTGATAATAATAATGATCAAATAACAATGACAAGAATAGCTCACATTTATTGGATCTTTATTGTGCATTTGGCACTCAGCTGAGTGTTTTACATGAAGGATCTTATTTAATCTTCAGAAAAACTCTATGAGGTATGTACTGATATTGTCCCCATTTTACCTAGGGGCAAACAGAGGTTCAGTGAAGTATTAACCTTGACAAAGTATACCGTGCCAGAGTCACAGAGCCCCAGTGTATAGTTTATATTTACTTTTTTTTTTTTTTTTTTTGAGATGGAGTCTCATGGCATGATCTCGGCTCACTGCAACTTCTGCCTCCTGGGTTCAATTAGCTAGGCATGATGGCACGTGTCTGTAATTACAGCTGCTGGGGAGGCTGAGTCACAAGAATCACTTGAGTGTGGGAAGCTAAGGCCATGGTGAGCTGAGATCATGCCACTGCATGCCAGCCTGGGGGACAGAGTAAGACTCTGTCTAAGAAAAAAAAAAAAAAATTCTTGTAGAGACAGAGTCTCACTATGTTGCCCAGGCTGGTCTCAAACTCCTGGGCTCAAGTGATCTTCCCACCTTAGCCTCTCATAGTGCTGGGATTATAGGTGTGAGCCACTGCACCCAGCCTTGAGCAGCATTTTAATTTTCTCCAAAAACTTTTCCTTTGCGTTGACCACTCAGGTAACTATTTGACTCAAGAGACCTAGCTTTTGGTCTATCTCATTATTCCCCCATTCAGCTTAATCATTTCTAATGTTTGATTTAAAGTGAAAGATGCGCGACTTCTCCTTTCACTTGAACACTTAGAAGACATTTTCAGGTTTTTAACTGGCCTAATTTCTTTTGTTGTTGAGAGAGGGTCTCTCTCTGTCACCCGGGCTGGAGTGCAGTAGCAAAAAAAAATAAAACGCCTCACTGCAGCCTCAACCTCCCAGGCTCAGTCTTCCACCTCAGGCTCACAAGTAGCTAGGATCACAGGCATACACCATCATGCCTAGCTAATTTTTTAAATTTTTTTGTAGAGATGGGCTCTGCTTTGTTGCCTAGGCTGGTCTCAAACTCCTGGGCTCATGCAATCCTCCCACCTTGGCCTCCCAAAGTGCTGGGATTACAGGAATAAAGCATCATGCCCAGCCTAATGGGCCTAATTTCGATATTGTGTCTCAGGGAATAAGAAGGCCTGAGGAGGGAAAGAGAGATGGGGAATGGGTAGAAGTTCACTGTTTTGGCCAGGCACAGCAGCTCACGCCTGTAATCCCAGCACTATAGGAGGCTGAGGCAGAAGGATTGCTTGAGCCCAGGAGTTTAAGACCAGTCTGGCAATATAGTGAGAGGAAAAAGTCATTTTTATTAAAAAATTTTTAAATTAGCCAAGTGTGGTGGTGTGTGCCTATAGTCCCAGCTACTTGAGAGGCTGAGATGGAAGGATGGCTTGAGCCCAGGAGGCAGAGGCTGCATGAGTTAAGATTGTGCCACTGCACTCCAGCCTGGGCAACAGAGCGAGAATTTGTCAAAATAAGGAATAAGGAAGGAAGGAAAGAAGGAAGGAAGGAGGGAAGGAAGGAGAGAGGGAGGGAGGGGGGAAGGGGAGGGAGGGGGGAGGGAAGGAAGGAAGGAAGGAAGGAAGGAAGGAAGGAAGGAAGGAAGGAAGGAAGGAAGGAAGGAAGGAAGGAAGGTGGGCAAAGATTCACTCTTAGATAGGTGTGGTTTATGGTACCCCAAAACAATTACAATAATAACATCAAAGATTGCTGATCACCAGAACACATATAAAAATAATAATAAAGTTTGAATACTGTGAGAACTACCAAAATGTGACCCAGAGACCAAGTGGAAAATGGTGCTGACAGATTTGTTCCACATGGGGTTGCCACAAACATTTGATGTGTGAAAAACAGTTTCTCAGGGAGACTAAGGCTGGAAGATCACTCGAGCCTAGAGTTTAAGACTACAGGCCGGGCGCGGTGGCTCAAGCCTGTAATCCCAGCACTTTGGGAGGCCGAGACGGGTGGATCACGAGGTCAGGAGATCGAGACCATCCTGGCTAACACAGTGAAACCCCGTCTCTACTAAAAAATAGAAAAAACTAGCCGGGTGAGGTGGCGGGCGCCTGTAGTCCCAGCTACTTGGGAGGCTGAGGCAGGAGAATGGCGTGAACCCAGGAGGCGGAGCTTGCAGTGAGCTGAGATCCAGCCACTGCACTCCAGCCTGGGCCACTGAGGGAGACTCCGTCTCAAAAAAAAAAAAAAAAAAAAAAAAAAAGACTACAATAAGCGATGATCATGCCACTGCACTCCATCCTGGGCAACAGAGCCAAATCCCATCTCTAAAAAAACTAAAAAATAAAAAAATAAAAATAAAATACAGTATCTATGAAGTACAATCAAGTGAAGTGCAATAAAACAAGGTATGCCTATATTTCCTTGAGCTAAAGCCC